AAGCTGTGAGCTCCCCACCCTCAAAGGACTCTGTGAACACAGGCAGCTTGTACTTTGTGTCTGCAGAAGTAATACCCTTCCTTTAAGTAACAACAGGGAGTAAATGAACTAAACATTTATTTACTTCATAAACAGATAACCCCAAGGGACAGTCACTCTGTGAATGATTTTTCTAATACAGCTGTGCCTCTGATGCATTGAAAATCACACCCTCCAGCTGTAAATATTTGAGAGAATAATTTGGTTATCCAAGCAAAGGGCAGTCACATTTTCTTGAATGCCAACACTAATTTAAGGAGGATGCATGCTTTGCATCCACACCAGATACTCTTCTGAAGAATTGCCTTTGCCTGGTAAATGACAATGGAGATTCTTAGAAGGTAAGGATTTGATCATCTTTTTTAGAAACCCCAGATACCAGATGCTGCCGATGCATTTGTCTTTGTGCTGCCCAGAAGTCTCAGAAAGTCACCCACTACTTGGTTACAGTTTCAGTGCTACAAGGATATAGCTGTCTGCATTTTATACACTGTTCTGAGTTATACCAGAGGGGAAAGCTGTGAACCTCTGGTAAACCTCCGGTATATGGTATAGCTGTGGTTATTTTAACTCAGATGTAAATCCTACATGAGTTATTGTGCAGTTTGAGGGTTGAGAGACTTGTTCATGACAGAAGAATGTTTTTCTTTCTCTTATCAGTGACATACACACTAGCAATTTTCCCCAGAAGGATACAGCTTATCTAACTACTGTAAGATATATTTGACAGTTTGTGACTCTAAAATCTAGAAACTAAAATGTAGTTTTAAAAAAGTGAAAGAAGCCAGTCTGAAAAGGCTATATACTGTATGATTCTAACTATGAGGGGACTTCAAAAAGTTTGTGGAAAATGTAATTAAAAGATAAAAATAAAAATACAAAGTATATTTCTCAGAATAAGCTCTCCAGAATAAGTTCAAGACACTTTTGTAAGTGGGGATACCGTTAAGTCTATCCCTAAAGAACTGAGGGCCCTGGGAATTTAACCATGACAGTGCAGTCTTTTTTACATCATTAACTGAAGAAAAATGGATTCCCTTTAAATATATATTTTTTAAGATTAGGAAAGATCCAGACAAATTGGATATCTTTGTTTAAAAAAAAAAATCTAGGAAACAAAAAGAAGTCAGAAAGAGCCAAATCAGGATGGTAAGGTGGATACATAATGATTTCTCACTGAAACTCTCACAAATTTGCCCTTATTTGATGAAAGAGTAGGAGATTGTCATGGTGAAGGACTCTCTGGTGAAGCTTTCTCAGGCGTTTTTCTGCTAGAGCTTTGACTAACTTTATCCAAACCCTCTCCTAATAAGCAGATGTTATCATTCTTTGACTCTCCAGAAAGCCAACAAGCAAAATGTCTTGAACATCCCAAAAAACTGTTGCCATGACCTTTACTCTTAACTAGTCTGCTTTTGCTTTGACTGGACCACTTCCACCTCTTGGTAGCCATGGCTTTGATTGTGCTTTGTCTTCAGGATTGTACTAGTAAAGACTTGTTTCATCTCCTGTAACAATTCTTCAGAGAAATGCTTCGGGATCTTGATCTCTCTTTTTTAAAATTTCCATTGAAAGTTCTGCTCTTGTCTGCAGCTGATCTGGGCACAACAGTTTTGGCACCTGTGCAGAAAGTTTGGTCAACTTTAATTTTTCAGTCAGAATTGGGTAAGCTGAACAAGTTGAGATGTCTATGGTGTTGGCTATTGTTTCTGCTGTTAATCATCAGTCCTTTTCAATTAGAACACAAACAAGATTAATGATTTCCTTGCAAACTGATGTGGATGGTCTGCTGCTGTGGGCTCCATCTTCAACATTGTCTCATCCCTTCTTAAAACAAGTAATCCATTTGTAAACTGATCATTTCTTTGGGACATTGTCCCCACAAATTTTTGTAAAGCATTGATGATTTCACCATTCTTTCACCCAAGCTACACCATCAATTTGATATTTGTTCTTGCTTCAAATTTTAGCAGAATTCCCTTTGCTCTGATAGGGGCTCTTTTCAAGCTGATTTTCTTATCCTTAAGTGCCTCAAAGTAGATCCTGTTCAGATGTATTACAACAAGTTAGTATGAGTTTATTTTAGTGTAAAAAAATTTTGCAATCCATGCATAGTGTTTTCATAATACCCATTTTTCAAGAACTTTTTGAAGACCCCCCTCACATATGACATTCTGGAAAAGGCAAAACTGTGGTGACAGTAAAAAGATCAATGGTTGCCAGGAGGTGAGGAGCAGAGGGGAGGGAGGGATGAATAGGTGGTAGAGCATAGAGGATTTTTAGGGCAGTGAAACTATAATTCTGTATGATACCGTAATGGTGGACATATGTCATTATACCTTTGTCAAAACCCGCAGAATGTACAACACCAAGAGTGAACCCTAATGTAAGCTGTGAACTTTAGTTAATGATAATGTATCAATATTGGCCCAGCAGTAGTAACAAATATACTGCATCAATGCAAGAGGTCAATAGGGGAAACTGGGACCAGGGAGTGGAGGGAGGGGATATCTTGGAACTCCCTTTACTTTTCACTCAATTTTTTTCTTGTAAACCTAAAGCTGCTCAAAGAAGTCTATTATTATTATTTTTTTTTTTTTAAACAGCAGAACAGTTCAACCTCATGGCATCATCTCCATGGATGTTGGGGAGGTTGTGATGGCATCATTCTACCTAAATCTTCTTTGGCACACAACATGTAGCCTTAAGCAATTTCAGTTGAAAATAGCTATCAGTATATTAAATTTCCTTATCACAATAACTATCTTAGGTTATGAGGAGTACACACATTGTAGAAAATATCACTAGGAACTGTACAAGTAGTGATGAGTAGTTATATGACTTGCCAGAGGAAAACCCCACACTTTAAAATTTACAAACCAATCAAAGAAAGATGTGTACTAAATGCTGCATTTTGCAGCGTATAAGATGCATTTCCCTCTGGAGTTTAAAAAAAAAAAAAAAGCTATCCAAAAATTCCTGTATTCAATGTTCCTTTAATACAAACAGCTACCCAGTGACAACCAAAAAACAGCAAACTGGCGTAAAGTCAGAATGAAATTCATATTCTCTCATGATGTCAGTTGTATATGTATTCTCTTGAACAAAACTTAAGTTTGCTGCTGTTATGAGTGGGGTTTGTGTGCCCACTGCCATGGAAAGCCAATGACCAAAGCAGGTGTCTTTGCAGTAGAGAAAGAAGGTTCAATCACAAGGTGGCCATCGTGAGAAGGGCTGGAGATTAGCATCTGAGTTCTCCCTTCCACACAATGGAGAAGGTGGAACGTTATGGGCAAGTGGTTAGGAGTGGTGCAAAGTGTGGGGGATCATGATTGGTAAAAGGGTTTGAAGGAGTCCTTCCATGATGTGCGCCCAGCACAGACCATCTGCATGTTCAGATGATGGCAGCATTGGAAAGTGGATCCCTCGCCCTCTGACATCAAAGTACAGACATTTGCACAGGCTCAGGAGAGATGTCTGTAGGCTCAGCTGGCCTAGCCCAGTTTGGGTCGGGCCAAGCTACCCTCAAAGATCCAGAAAAGAAACCTTAGGCACACACCTGGTGACTTCTATGCCAGAGGCGTTATATTAAAGAGCAGATAGGAAGAAACAAAATGAGAGGTTAGTTATGGAAATTTATTAAAAGAATGAGCAATTTAAACAGGGAATAAACTTTAACTGAGAGCCACAGTTACATGGTCTAGAGAACCACAGTAAAATCACTCAATACATGTGTACTACAGATAGTACAATTTTGCTTTTCCAAAGAATGTCTTTTTTAAAAAAAAAGATGACCAGTAAGGGGATCTTAACCCTTGACTTGATGTTGTCAGCACCATACTCTCCCAAGTGAGCTAACCAGCCATCCCTATATAGGGATCCGAACCCATGGCATTGGTATGCATAGCACCACACTCTCCCAAGTGAGCCACAGGCCGGCCCCAAAGAATGTTGTAAGAAATGGGGTGTGGCTTATATCCCTATACATCTTAAATGCCAGCAGAGAAAGTAAACAAGACCTTCTCTAGGCCCACAATCTGATTCTCTTCTGTGATATTTTCTTGGACTTGATTTTGCAGAAAGAACTCTGATGAGGCTATAAGAAGAGTTGCACTAACTCATTGGTGGGCTGCCCAGCTCAGTATTCAGTCTCTGCCTGCTACCAAATCTTTTGGGAAGAGAGCGTGGTAGTTCACCACCCTGATACCTGAAATATGAGGGGTAACACTTTATCATCCCTGATTTCCTGTGAAAATTTCATGAGCTTTAATTATGTAAAACCTAGCACATTAGAGCACTAGAGAGGAAAAAAAAAAAAACCTATAGAAATATATTGTCATACATTTTAATTTAACTCTGTAATGAAGTTTCCTTTTAAACATAGATGTTCCTGAAATTATGGGAATTTACAAAACTAAATAACAAGTCATTCTTGTAAAGAGATGAGCAGCTGCTCACTTTCCTGATCCCACCCTCTCCTCCCCTTGCCTGGGGTCGGAGGGAGGTTGCCAACTTATCCCACACTGAGCAGAGGCGACGTGTCTCTCTAATGAACAGGGCTTCCATGCCTGTTTCTGTCCTGAGAGAAGGATTTGGATAAGGTAAGATTAAGGTTTTGATTTAAGAGACCCTTTCTTCCAACACTATTGAGCCAAGAGACAAGAGATTTTCTTAACTTGTTGAAATTTCCTTTCTTTTTGTGTTCATGATCAGTTGGAACCTATGAGCAGAGTAAGACTCAATAGGTGGTAAGAAAGTCAGCAGAGGGCTGAGGGAACAATACCGAGAGCTGGGGTGCTCTACACCAAGATTTGCTAATAAGCATTTAATTACTTGCTCCAATGATATAAACACAATCTACATGATAATCATGGAAAATTGCTCTATAGGACATTTGTGTCTAAAGTTGGAATCTTCAAAGTCATTTTCTCAGCCTTGTCCATATCTCTTTTCCTTTGCAGGGCCACAGGCTTCGGCTTCTTGAATGCATTATGCAAAGCAGCAGCCGTCCTGGGAAACTTAATATTTGGCTCCCTGGTCAGCATCACCAAAGCAATCCCCATCCTCCTGGCTTCTACTGTGCTCGTGTGTGGGGGACTCGTGGGGCTGCGTCTGCCTGACACAAGAACCCAGGTTCTGATGTAATGGAAAAAAGCCATCCGTTGTGTGTTTCTAACTCCTGCTGTGGGTCAGTTCTCCTGACTGACTCCAGGCTTCTGATTTTTCACATATAGAAAGTTGGTGAAGTATTAGAACACAAACTCTTGCTGTGACTTAAAATTTAAATGTGTATCATTTTTCCCCTTAAATGTGATTTTGCACAGATTTTTTGTTTGTTTGTTTGGTTGGATTTTTTTTAATGCATTGTTATCTTTCCTAACTGTGATGCTACTGCTTCCCCAAAACCAGTGGACAGATTTCTAAAATGTCCTAGTCATCCAGGCTTCCCTGGGATTCTGCTCATTGAAGGTTTAGAAGCTAAGAAGACTGTGCTGGTGTAAGAAATAGATCCTCCTAATTCAACATTAACAGGAACTATAAGCTGGCATATTATTGCGTTTGTGCTGAGGAGAGGGATTCTTTTTTTTTTTTTTTCAGAGTGATATTTCCTGTTTACTTAGAAAAGGACACCCAGCAATTCTTGCTGTTACAGCAGGGCCTTTCAAAGAAAACCATGTGGTACCAAAGAGGGCTGGGTGGGGCTCTTTCAGACAAGACAATTAAGGTGACTCTGCTGACAAGAAAAATAAAGGCTCTGCAGTTGGCAGCAAAAATCTGAGTGAGCTGAAAAATACCGTATGCGGAAGAAGGACCATAATAGTGTCTGTGATTGTGGCATGTGGTTCAGAATGTTTGAAAATCAGAGATCATAAAGAGATATTCTGCCTCCACTTACCACCCACACCCCTACAGCTGCCACTGATCTTGCTAGACAGTGGATTTGGGAAGAAAGCCACTTCTTAAAAACTGTCTGCCCACCTGATTCTGCCATTCGTCCAAACTGTCTCTGGTCTATAGATGGTCAGTGGATATATAAGTTGTTGTAAATTGCAAATCAGAAAGAAATTTATACCTAAAGCCATTTGGAAATGCAAAATGGTGCCTCTTTCTGGAACTCTTTCCTGAGGGACTGTCCCTTCCGGGCCCCCCAATCCCCCAACCCGGCCCGTAGTTGACAGTCAGCTTTCTAGCTGGCATCACCAAAGTGGGCCCTGTCCCTGTGGCTTCCCCTGGGCGAGTGCACTGGTCACTGCACTCCTCCTGGCTCCTGGCTCTGTAAAATCACAGCTGCCTGCACTCCTGAGGAACCTCTTGCACACAAGAGCAGCATCTCCTGGTGGTTGTTTGGTTGCTTGTTTTACCTCTGGAATCTGCCTGGGCTTGGAAGAAAGAGGTCAGCAGGACATTCCCACGGGGCAGCTGTCAGCTCCATGACCTCCTCGCCTCTGGACCATCTTCTCCCCCAAGCTCATCCTTTTTACACAACTTCTTTGAAATCTGATGCCTCCAGGGGTTGACTTGCAGCTAGTGAACCAGCAGACAGGGATAAATCCCATATTTAAACAATATTCCCTTTTTAACTCTCTATGTCTTGTTAGAGCGTTATCCTTGTTACTTATTATAGACATTTCCAGCAGGGCCACAGCCCTGGGGCCTACAGGAAGAAAAGGCTTTTGTTTCCACTAATCATTACATTCAGAGATGTCCTGACTCCCCAGAGGCCCCTAGGCCTCCCCTTCTCCTTCCTAATGATCCCTCCTAGAGCTCAGACTATGTGAAAAGCTTCTTTCATTAACATAAGCCATTAATCGACTCTCCCTTGAAGTAACTCAGGTCTGTAGAGGGACAGCCTGGTGTTGGGGGTGGCAGGAAGAGGGTGGTTCTCTGGGGGTATGTGCTAAGGGCCAGAACATCAGGAAAACTCAAACCAAAAACTGCAAAGGTGGCAGACAGAAGGAAAATCAATGATGACTAGACAGATAAGATTTATTTGAAAGATACCAACAAAGCAGGGAAAGAAGTGGAATTTACTCTCACTTCTGCCTCCTGTCATGTTATTGGAGAACAAAAGCAGCAGTCAAACAACTCCAGAACATTCTCTGTGGGTTACTCTTCTTCCTTATGGACTCATTTCCCATCTATCTAGCCCTTGATTCGTCTTCTTAAAAAAGACATATTTGGGGGGCCGGCCCGGTGGCGCATGCTATAGTGCGCCGCTTGGGAAGCGCGGTGGCGCTCCCGCCGAGGGTTCGGATCCCACATACAGACCGGTTCCCGCTCACTGGCTGAGTGAGGTGCAGGCAAAACACCGAGGGTTGCGATCCCGTTGCCGGTCCCAGTCCGGTACGGGCGCGACACTGAGGGTTGTGATCCGTTGCCGGTCATGAAAAAAAAAAAGACATATTTTGGGGACCTGACCAGATCTTTGATTCCTTTTTCCTTTTTTTTTTTTTTTCTTGGCAGCTGACCAGTACAGGATCTGAACCCTTGACCTTGGTGTTACCAACACCATGCTCTAACTCATGAGCTAACCAGTCAGCCACTGAGCAGGTCTCTTAGTTGAATGTAGCATGTGCAGAAATAACTGCAAATGTAAGATGTGTATCTTCATCAACCCATTCAAAAGAAAAATAGAAATGTGCATGGGTGTTGCTGTCTCCAGTCTTCTGTGGTAGTTAACTTTGCTTACTTTTTTTTTTTAATCTTTACTTTTTAAGATGTATCTGAAGTCTGTTGTAGAGTCTAAATGCAGAAAATCTCTCCCAAGCTGCAGAGCACAGTTATTCAGAAGTTTATCTGAACACTGGGTTGGGTCAGCATAGGATAAGCCAGCAGAACACTGCTGCATGAGACCTGCCACCGTGTGTCCCCTCAGGAAGGACCATTCTTTTTTTTTTTGTCTTTTTTGTCTTTTTCCGTGTCCGGCAACGGATCGCAACCCTCAGTGCTGCCCCCGTACCGGAACGGGGACCGGCAACGGGACCGCAACCCTCGGTGTCGCTCCCGCGCCTCGCTCAGCCAGTGAGCGGGAACTGGTCTGTGTGTGTGATCCGAACCCTCGGGCGGGAGCACCGCCGCGCTTCCCAAGCGGCGCACTTATCCAGTGCGCCACCGGGCTGGCCCAGGAAGGACCATTCTTGCCCTTCTTGTCACCTAACCCAAACCTCCCAGGTGGCCCAAGAGGGATCTATTCTAATCTTCTGGACAGTCTGTGGTCACAAACCTTCTTGGTCACCACCGTCTCCACCTTCCATGTGCTTTTCTCTGTCTCCCTCACACTGTTCATCACCTTGATTTTTTATGAGCTAGTTCAAGTTGTTTCCAAAGTATGTGGTGTGGCCAGTCTGGCTTGTTCTGGTTGCAGCTGGAGATTAAGATACAGCCATGAGATTAAACAGAAACATTCATTTGTATCAGTGTAGCAGGCGGCTGGCACTGGACATGCAGCTAAAATCTCATTCCATCTACAACGGAAGGTAAAAGTTTGTACAAAAATGAAAGCCTAGGAAACAGTTGGTTCCACTTGATCCTATATTTCTAGTTCCTTTTCTGACTAAAATTTCCCATAGCTCTTTGGAATCAACCCAGAAAGCTCCCTAAGTCCTATTATTTCCCAATAGGAAACAAACAGCTGCTCCAAATTATAAATTCTGTATGTACCCCACTGTACCCCAGGTACTGGGCTTAGGCTCCAGCTCACAGTCCTGCTGCCTGAATTATCTCACACACAGAGTATTGGCCTGAAAGACAAGATAGATGGGTCCTGACCCAAGCTCCAGCACTAACTATCATGAGACCCAGATCTGGGGGGAAAATGTAAGTCATTGAACATGTCTGGTCCTTAATTTCCTGTCGGTAGGGTAAAGGATTGGGACTGGTTTGCTCTCCAAGATTCTAGAGGATCATCATGAAAGCAGCTTCATTATCTGCCTTCTTCTGATGGTGAACCCTCCTTCACAAGTCCTAAATAGGCTAGTTTATAAACTGAAAAATTAGGAAATAGGCAAGCATGACAAAAGCTTAGGAAGTTGTTTGGGAAGCCCCCAGAGAACAGGCCAGATCCCATAGTTCCCATGTTGTCTGTGCTGCCAGGATCCTGAGCATTATCTCTGTTCAGTGCTAGTTTGACAGTTATCACTGGTTTGACAGTTAACACCACCAGACCAGGAAAAGGGCCCACCCTGCCAAATATACACAGTCAGAAGAGTCTCTCATCACAATACTATCACAAAGGCTGTATCCCATAGCTCTCCCAAATGTTTACTCCATTATGTTCTTGAAACATGGCCTTATGTAGACTTAGGCCACCAGAAACAGAGTTTTTCAGTGATTTTACCTAAGTTGGTAAATGCACCTTTATTTACAAATCTCACCAAATCATAGTTCGGGTTTGCACCAAAAACTGCTTAGCTGTTTTTCAGGATATCTTCAGAGATCAAGAGGAAAGTGTGAAAAGAAATGTAGTGACAGAAGGGAGAATCCAAGATATCACTGATAAGTTTCCAGTGAAGAGATTAGGGCACAGTGGAAACTTCCTAAACTCTGGAATCATTTATTTCTGAGGCATTCCATGGGAATACTTTCTGATTCCCTCTGCCAACCAAAATAGAATATGATATTCTCCAATATTTTTGTTTAATATCAAAATGGCCTTTATTTCAATTTTGCTTCCATAAAACACCTTACCTGTTCCTAAAGCCAGGAATGTCTGAATTTGGCCTTCACTTGGTGTCATAGAAACACAACTGGCATATTGTCATTAAGGAGCACGTTGGCTATGTATTATCTTTTTTTTTTTTTTTTTAAAGGATCCGAACCAGTGGCCTTGGTGTTATCAGCACCGCACTCTCCCAAGTGAGCCACAGGCCGGCCCACGTTGGCTATGTATTAGGTTTTCCTTTAATCCCCACATAGTGCCAAAATTAGTCCAGTTACCAAACCTACAAAAACACCAGTCATGTTGCAACAACAAAAAGAAATCTACTCAGTAGGATACTCTGAAATGGACTATACATTTCTTATACTTTCTGTTTCTGCCAAGCAAAGTATGTGTTTTGAGTAAAGCTTCTCTTGTAATCTGTGTAGTATAGACAAATTTATCAGTATCTCCCAGATGTGTTGCATCTCCCTTCATTGTTTCAGGCATGGAGAGACAATTCT